AGTACATCAGTTCAAAAGTAAATCCCGCAGTAAAATCTGGAAGAGAGAAAAAAGCTGATTCACACTTGAAGTTGTGTGAAGATAGGAGAGAAAAATTCCACTATTGGGCACTGAAAATAACTTTCAAAGTTGTTTAGCATACATTATAATTTCTAATCTTTTGAATTTCAGATTAGGTCACTAAATTTAGAGAAATTTACCTCATCTATACTAAAGACTGTATTTAGTGATTTGACTGCATCCTGTTCATAAATGAAGAAAAGTTGTATGAATAACAGGTTTCTTATCCTCTATACTAACTACCCCAGTATCTTGTATTGAGAATGAAGTATAGTTGAATCCTTACCAAATACATGAGTCCACTGACTTAAATTAATTTGGCCCATGAACATGAGCTACAACTTTATTTAAAAAACCAGTTGTGTTATTTCATTCTGCAGGCCTGCAAATAAAATTTGAATTTTAGTGAATAAGCCTAATAGCTTAGTCCTTGATTCTATCTAGTGCTGTATCACCATCGTAGTAGAGACTGACTTTATGCTCTCAGGCACTCTCAGAAAACATGACTGTAGAGCACACACTAGCAAGAGAGAAAAGGCCAAAAATATTTTGGTATGCATAGGTTTTTTTGTACTGTGCCTGGTTTAGCTGCAGCTACACATATTAAGTCAGAAGCATTATCTTATTTCCAAACCAAATGGGAGCACTTCATAGGAGTAACAGCAACCAGGAATATCTGGATCCAGAGAAGACAAAAAGGTTAACAGCATCAACAATGAAAAAAATACTTCCTCAGTATTGACCAAACAGGCAACACATCTAACATAGAATTTAAAGTTAGATTCTAGGCCTTAGCTATTTCCACTTTTTCTCAATTATCTAACAGTACTTGTTTTGTATGGTAGTCTTCTATTAGAAGAATCTGCTTTTGTGTATAGTACAGGAGACAGTTCAATATTAACTAGTAGAGCAGCAAATACCATTCTTCAGTGGCCTCTCCTGACGTTTCGTATGCCTCGCAATCTTCAACTCTTATGGGTAGTTAGAATGGGAATAAGCATCTAGCTAAGATTAAGGGACTTTGGCATAAGGTCAAGATCTATTCCAACATAACTTCTGCTATGGTTTTCCTCCTCATCAGCTTCCCTATTTTACTTTGTGAAATTTCGATTAATCAGTTGCATGATACCAAACAGACATGGCAAGAGGACAACTGCAATTTCCAACATCTATGATCGAAGACCAACACTGGATTGAGCATCACATGCCATGTCTAGATGGATGAGAGGCGACACCATAAAAAAAAAGTGATAAGGAAAGGCACTAAAACCAGTTACAGCTGTACTCCTAAGACAAGTGAACTTGCAGCTGCATTTCTTACCATGAAAGGAAATTGGTCTGTTTATCAAATTCAAAATGCAAGCCTACTTACAGCAATACAGAGGATAGCCAGAAGCTGTTACAAGCAACAGATGCTATTCACAACTGTCCTTCAAGCAGGCATGCTGCATTTTCTTTAGTGAACAAATGCAATTTGGTTTTGTCCCCAGTATGAAGTAAGAAAGAAGTAAGAAAAAGAAACTTCTTCTGTGGAAAACATTAACCCTAAATAAAATCTGAACTTACCCTTCTAGCAGGCCACTATAGCTCTAGAAATAAAAGGAAACCTTTGAAGATTTTAGGAGGTGCTGAAACATTTGTTTTGAAGTTTTATTACAAAAATATATTTGCAAACATACAAAAGTTTGGATGAAAAAAATGCTCATTCTTAAACATTTATGCAATAACTTAATAACTGCAAACATACATAGGTGCTATAAAATCCATACCATACCAAAAATGTTAATGATGCAGTATCTACATTTATTGACTTAGAATTATCCTTATTCCGGTTTCCAGAAATCTTTCCTGAAGCCCCCCTTCCCCATGGTCTTCATATTGAAAGAACATGCAAATGGGTACAACTGGTGCATCCACAAAAGTGATAACACTCAGAAATTACTAAAAGCACATAATGTACATAGAAAAACGTAACTAACCATATGCCCATACGCTGAATAGATAAAAATAAATACACCACCAAATTAGAGATACTGCAATTTTTCCAACTTGAAGTGAAAAGAAGATATTGCATCTTAACATTTTTGTAACGTTGCCAGACAAAACTGAGGTGATATATATTGCACACATTCCTCACGTTAAGATATGCTGTACAAAGCAACCCAAATACCTGGCAAAAAGGTGGCTGATTTGTTTAGAGTATTTTTAAAAAACAAGAAGTCCCAAATTAAAGTTTGTTTTCAAAAATATTTCAGAAATTATATCAGTGACTACACATGGCATAATGGGTTTCAGAAATATACCAAAATGAAGCAATCAGAAATGCAAGCAAAAATGAGATATATCCAGCAGCGTTTAAATATTGAGTATTTATACACAGAATTAAGCATTTTATAAGAAATCAAGATGAATCACTTAAATTTTTTTTTTTTTAAACTTTATTCAATCATACTGCAAATCTTGTTTAATTTGGAAAGATATACTGCTTCTAAGTTAATAGCTGTTAGGCACCTTTCATAAAAACTTTGCACTATTAAATAACAGCAGATAAAGTCTAACTACAAAACTGAGAATTTTGATTTTCCTGAACAATTCAGCAGCTGTAGGTTTTAAAACTGTCTTTGCTTAAGTCTGAGTTTGGTGTTTGGTTTTCTGTGTATGTGTGGTTTGTTTTTTTGGTGTTTTTTTTTTTTTTAAAGTGACTTAACGATAGCCACAAAACACATGCTTAGATAATACAATTAATTTGGGGAGTATATTCAAAACTAACAATCTTTTAATTCTCAGGTAAAATCCCATTAAGCCAGTAGTTTTACAAAAAAAAAAAAACAAAAAAACACTTGAAAATGGTCACAATTTCCTGCGATGACCCATGGTAACTTGCTACACACTAGTTATCCCTACATGCGGATAACATGAATCAAGCACTTCAACAAGCTGGTAATTTTAGATTTATAAAAAAAGTTAAAATAATCAGGAAGAAAGTTGTTAAATAACACAGTCCACATTAAAAACCTCAAATTTTACACTGTAGTTGAGCTTGTGTTTTACAATGCAACTTTTCATTAAAGAGGTTTATCTGTTAAACCCACTACCCTGGCACTTGTCATAAGTCTCTGTGGTGTACTGGATGACACCTAGGTTCGTTCCAGTGTCTGTTGGCTACACATAGACAGGTCAGAACAAACATGTGCAGGTGTTCAAGATGAACAGGTTTGCTTGTTGTAAAAATGCCTGCCTAGTAACTATGATTTCAACTCTGTTTCTTTTCCAATTCATTTTGAAAGTGTGTGGGGGGGAGTAAACCAATAATGTATTGCTACCAGTATACTACAAAAACAAAGTAGAGTAAGGATCTGCCAACTGCTTGTGGGTGTTCTGGGCAGCTGGAAACAAGTTAAGGATATTCAAAGTAGAGTCAAACCCTCGTTAACAGCATTGCTACTCTAAACAGTATTACTTCTGTCAACTGTGTATGACTGAAGAACTCAAAATACAACTCCTTCCTATCACTTCTATATATCTTTGGATATGACTGTATTTAGCAAACAGTAGAAATATGCACTATCAGCTTCCAGTATTTCTATTCTTAGAAACTTTTATCAGTTCTTCCTTTGAAGGAACTAGAAGCTGTCCATAATAAGTCAGAAGTTATGGACTTCATCTTTGCTAAATCCAGATAAAAAGCAACTCTCTATTTGGTTTAGGCTATCCATTTTTGTTTAGAGGAACTGCTCATTGGTTTGCCCCGTGTAGTGAAGCTTTTTCTAAAAAACCCAACAAAACAAATTAGTTTAGACTGTAGATCTAATCTGAGTCTCACTGTTTATGCACATACACAGTATTCTAACTCTAGAATTTATGTAGGAAGCTCCTATCTTCCTTAACAAGGCTGAGTTGATATTGCTGAATTCAAATGCTACCATTAAAGCCAATATATTTCTTGATGAATGTGCATGACATTAGAATCTTTCCCTGAATCTTGCACATTTTTCTAACAAAATACTATGTATTTTAACTGGAAATACTGAACTCAGAGGCTGAGAAGAGCTTTTCAGAAGGCAGGTAGTGCTAAACAAAATATATTTTTCACTAAAAAGCTATGAAAAAAACTAAAATAGATCAAATACATAAAAAAGTAAATATTTGTTGTATCTAAAACATACCGATTTGTGAACAAGTCACAATTAAAGCTCAATTACTAGTTTCCAATGAAATGACCATGCACCTTGACTACGTCAACATTAACTAATCCTTAGGATATATATACATACATATATGTTGTAAGGAGCCAAACAATTTTCTTCTTCATATTTCAATAGTGCTTGAGGGAAAAGAAAGCAGCAGTGCATCATAATTCACTACATATTATCTTTTTACTCAGTAAACCAGACCTTTTCTACTGGAAAAGCATCCTTTAAAACTGCTATTGCTGGAAAAAGTTGGGACCTGAAGTCTTATTAATTACTTTTGCATGCCTTTAAGAAATAAATACAAGCCATGGGTAAACCAACACAGCAGCATAAGAAACTATAATTAGAAATTTTCTGATTTCAAATGGGAAAGTATCCAGTTAAATTCTTACATTAGTGAATAGTGAATTACTAAATCACATATAAGAAGCGATAACATTTTAATTAGATAAACTTCAGACTATGAAGTGTGCACCAACAATTTGGGGAGAGGGTAACAGAAGCAGAGCATGCATTTGTTCCCCATCTGCAGTTTTCAACACTGCAATTCCAATGCAATTGAGGAATAAAAACCAACTATGACATGGTCCATCCTTAAGCTAAAACGGAAACAAAGTATTTAAATATCAAACACTGCTAAACAGGACAAGGGTCTTCCAGTGGTGGTCTCCTAACTATTAAATTTAAAACAAGGAAACTTCCAACATGCAACAGAACTACTCCATTGCTAAAAAAAAAAAAAAAAAAAAAAAAAAGATACAATCACTGAGGATTTTGCATATTTCAAATTTTGCCTTTTTAGAGAAAATGGCCTTACTCACTTGGATACCTGTTTAAAGTCAGCGACGCAGAAGCAAATAAGATTAATGGAATATTTAAAAGATGAATTTATACGCATTAGCTAGAGACTGTCAATGTATTGAGCAAATCACATTTTTAAATCATTTGTTAAAGATTTATCTCCAAAGGCCTGGCTTCCACATCTGTTCCTTCCCCACACCTGCCAATTTAATCACAAGGCATTTTGCTTTTCCTCAGTCCTTCAAACTGGAACTAGGTTCCCACAACTGAATTTTGTTCTGGTGTGGTGTAGTGTACTGTACTATGTATTTGCTGGTTTAAATAGTATTGAGACTGTAATCTTTGAAGAGTGAATACAGCTAGGAATGAAAGCCAGAGCAAACATTTGCACATTCACTTAATGCTAATGAGAGCTCAAACTTAAGTCCCCTCCCCAATAAAAACAAAGGTTTGCTGGTGATGATCACAGTGAAAACCTAGATCACTTCTGAGAATATTACTTTTGTAAGTATTTAAGGAATAGTCTTTCCTAACAGGTTCAAATTCAAGACGTTGAAAACTAAATATTCTTTTACAAAAATATCAGTTTTATAGACGAGGCATAATTGTTTCTAAAATGGATATATTTTAAGTAGATTTAGCTTCAATTATAGCTTAATGTTGTCTGTATTCTTGGTTAGGACTTGCAAGTAGACTTCATGAATAGTGCTGAGAAAACGGGAATCATTCTGCAGGAAAAAAAACACATTAGAAACATTAGTAAAAAGATGCAAAAAAAGTTTAATGCCATTTAAGTTGTACATAAGGATTCCTTATAGTGCCAGCTATCTGAGAGTTAAGAGAAGGGAACTAGCTGCAGACTTGTACAAAAGGCAATGCTTTTTGGACAACATACAGACTTTGACCTATGAAGCTGGTAAGACAGCTGAAGAGATCACTAAGCACACTGGATGCTAAAACAAACAAAACAGGGGTCACTAAGTCAGCCTTGGCCACATAATTTCACCTCCTTCCAGAGTCCAAACCTTAGTCTTTAGAAAGAGAGAATTCCATCCTATGTATAGGCTCCCAAACAAAGTCTGCATGAGCATCAGAAGTAATGTTACTTCTGTCTGTCACACCAGCCTGAAAGGGATTGCAGCGTGTTATACAAGACTTCTCATGTCAAAGCATGACTGAGAAGTGAATTAGTTTAATCTATAGACAATGTTTAGAGATATTTCTTCTGTCTAATTCCTTCAAATGACAAGTTTACAAAACTAGGATCTTAACAGTTAGCTTAGAGATGTAATACTCTTTTTACAAGATTGGCACAGCAAATTTGGTATCCTGCTTGGAGTGCTGTGCAAGTACTTCTATGCTGTAGGGTATGCCTATTTTGGTCTTCCTTCAGCTCCCTCTCTATAGAAAGAGAAGACTGGAGACAAATATTCCAATCAGCTCTCAAAAAGTCACCACAATGATGTTCTTCAGACTACTGGGTGAGAATCAGTGAGCTGTATCTCTAATGAGAATAAGACTTTCGGCAGCTGAGCTCAGTTGCAAGACTTAGAAGCTAGTTTAAGTCTTTAAAGAGAAGAAACCATACACACCAATACAGAAAAAGATTATGCAAAAAGGAACAACATAGATAAATCAGGCAACCTAGCTAATGATGGGATCTGGTAGCGGCCCTTTTTGGTCCTAAGAACTTTATCACTGGGAAGATATTGTTTGTTATTTTTAGACTTGTGTTTTGGGTGTAAGCTCTACTAACATCAGCATGGCAGGCACAAGAAAATCCTGAGTTAAAAAAGAACTGTTTGTCATTCATGGCAACTTTACCATGACATCAGAGGTCAAAATTATCTCAATGCATGGTTACTGCCAACATCACAGATTTAATTCAACTCAACTGAACTTTTTAGTCCCTAGAAATAGTAGAACTAGAACTTTGCAATTTCCATTTCAAAAGACACATACTTCAGTTAAAGATCAGGAACAGTTCTAGGGAAGCAGAAATAGGAAAGCTTTCCTTGGAAAAGCAGGAACACTTACAAAGACAACAAAAGCAAACCCCCATCCCCATACCAGAGCTTCTACTAGTGCAACTTTTTCTTCACTTGTTCACAAATTCATATGGGTGTGAAAGGACACATCTGATGTACAGCTCTGTCCTTTTAAGCCCTCCATCTCGCAACCAAAAGGAACAAGCTGTGCCATACTATGTGTACAAGTCTGGAATAATGTGTTCCTTCCAACAGAAAGGAACAACTTTTGTAATGTTTCAGGGCAAAAGGAGTTACAGGGGTACAGAATTTCTCAGTACTGGCTACTGTACTTGGAACCCCATCCCTCAGGAGTTGAGCTCTGTAAAGACAGGACCTTTATTAGATGTATCAGTGCTTCCTGAAGCTGAGACCTACTGAGAACAGTAGGAGGTATAGTCTGAATTTCTGTTGTTCCAAGTGTTAAAGGCGAAGAAGAATTGGCTTTATTCTCCACTTCAGTAGCTTTTGTAGATGATTGCTGAAAAACACTAGGAGACAAGAGGATTGAAGGCGCTACTGTAGTAGTGGCTGTAACAAACTGCGGAGGTGCAACCTGTAAAAGAACAGAAAATTAATAAACACTGTGTCCAGTATGTACAAATGCTATTATAAAGGCTGGAGAGATGAGTATAAAAAAATAAATTGTAGCCATTATTATTCAGTCAGATATTGCAGAATAGCTGCCCTTTATGAAGATGTATCTACCTATGAAGATTAATATCAGTAAGTAATTCTCATTTTAAAAGCTGAAGAAGTTAAGTCTTCAGTATTCTTGTATGCAGACTCCTTCCTCCTCACGTGGTTGCTACCTTCCAGAATTTTTGAAACATAACACTTGGAATAAAAGATGAACTTTTCACCTAGGTAATCGAAGAAGTGTGTAGTTCTTTTGCAGATTATTATTTTCCTTAGGAATTTACAGAAAGGCTAGTCCTGCTTCCTGCCCTCCCCGCCCCCGCCGGTGTCCAACAAATACACTTATAATTTGAAGTAAAGTATCTCAAAGATATTTAAAATGAGTGATGAACTGTAATTAAAGCATTGGAGTACACTGAAATATTCTTATTCTAAGTATATATTCCCTTGGGGGGAGAGGGGATAGGAATATTTTGAGGACTATCTTCCCACCTCATTCTTCCACAGGTCTGCGTCCATTTCATTACAGAAATCCACAACACACTGCCTTTATCACTTTTCCTTTTAAGCATAAATTCCAAATGTATAGAAATACTCTATTTGCATAAAGTGGACATGAATAACATCAGCTTTGAGAAACTCTGCCATATCCTGATAACTACAATTATTATTCAGTATGACCAACATGGTGAAAAAAAGAAAATAAACAAGCCAATCTCACTCAAAGCAAGCAAGACTAAATGTGATATGTAAAGATGTTTGATACATCAGCAGAAAGAGTTCCTCTTGGATAATCAAAAATCTTCAGAAGAAAAAAAACCTGCAAAGCCATCTATAGTTAATGTGTGTATAACAACATCAACAACAGTAGAACTAGCAAATTGATTTTGTTATAGTCAAAACTGTGAAGACTTACAGTGTGGGATTTCAGCTGAAGACAGCGTGTTTAAACCAACAAATGCAGTTTACCACACAACATGCACACTTCTTAAAATTCCAAAATCCATGTAAAATGCTTTTATTTAGGTAATTATTTACTATGTCATGAACAGACTGTATCACTTATCTTATAGCAGGCCAGTAGCTAAAACAGCATTTTACTTTAAGCAGGACCATTTCTACTGCCTTCACAATCAGATCTGGGCATGTTACTAAAACTGCTTTTATGTAGTGCAAGATGGACAAGAATAAGACCATTTAACAGATTTGAAAAAGGACATGGTGGGTAAAGGAAAAGTAGAACTAAATTACAGATGGTATCCTGAAAAGAATACATAACACAAAAGGTAATTAAAAACAATTCTTGAAGAGTTGACTATTACTGTTTGTTTTTTTTTTAACTGCAATCTGATATTTTATATTGACATTATTTTGAACTGTTATTCAAAGGCAGTTCTAATAATGTTAACTCTGTATTTAGATCACTAAAACTTGCTATTTAGAAAGTTCTGCAGTGAGAAATGCTTGTTACTCTTTTCTTCCTCTATCTTCCATTTTTTTCGCTTGGTATGTTTTTCATAAAATACAAGGTATCTCAGGAAAACTGAAAGAGACAGTAAGGCAAGGCTGCACTTTATGCCTCTGGGGTGCGTAAGGTTGGCTAAGGCTAACAGACCCTAGTGCAATATTACAGCATTAGTACTGCTTGCTTACAAAATAAAAAAAAACAGTTCAAATGGTGTAAACTCAATGAAAGACTGCAGATCCAAAAATGTATTCTCATTCCTGCATTAGCAACAACAATAAGAGGCACTGTACAACAAAAAAGTGTTCTCATTCACAGCAGTCTACAGAAAGTCCCTCTTGCTTCAGTACAGCTTGTTTCTCCTTCATGACAGCACTTTAAATATGGTCAGTGAGCAATGACTATTTGAGATACCAACTGTTTACCACAGTTTTAACCCCCCCCCCCCCCCTTAAGAAGGCCAACAATTAGTAGAGGTACTTATCCACTTACTTGACTTGCTTTAGACAAAGTCTTCGGCTGTGGAAATACTTCTGATTCCTTGTTTTGTTGTACAGTCTAAGTTAAAAAGAAAGCATAATTCACAAGTTACCATCCACAGCTCAATTTCCAGCAGCGATTCTGTTTTTATGAAAGCACAAAAATGCAAATTTCAACAGATTTTTAGATGTAATTTGATCCATTTTGTAAAGCTGATATAATCAATGGGAAGTTGGAAAAAGAGGAAAGATTTGAATTTGTTTTATGCTTTCCATATTACAGCAAACCTGTAAAGCCATAACAAAACACTTCTGAAGAAAGACCACACCGAAACAGAACAAAATGAATGCTACAAAGTAAAGAGTTCAGTACCTTGTAATCAGTTTGGTCAATTGCCAGGAAGGTTAAATTCAGTATTTTTTTTTCTAGGAGTTTTATCTAGTTACCTCCACAAAAATTAAATGCTGTTTTCTGCTAGAATTTCAGAAGTATTTTAGACCCTTAGAAACAGCATCCAGATATTTCTTTAGTAAGATTTCAATACTATAATAAAATCCAAGTATTATAAAATATTGGAAAACACAATAAAAGGCAAGTAGATAAGGTACTTAAATAAATTCCTGTGGCATTCTTCAAAAGGCTTGTTACAGCCATTTGTAATACCTCTTGGCAACATAGAACAGGGAAAAGCCCTTTGCAACAGACAGTACTTAGCTTACTTGAACTGCAATGAAAAAAAACACTCAGTGAATTGCTAGTCTTTAACAAAAAAAATAAAATTAGCTTTGTGAAGTGGTAACAAACACAGGATCAAATTCTTAAAAGTCTAATTACACAAGAGTTAAGAAGTCTTGCTAGTTTGAGAGTATATTTGGGCTATGGAGAATTTTGTTTAATGAAAATACGTACAGACGGTGGACATGGTGGAAGGAAAAAAGGGTGTAAGACTGGCATACGAAGAGCTAATTCCAAGGCTATCAAGCAGACATTGAATAAACACGGTCAAGGCCAGTTATGGATAAACCCAGCCAACTTTTCTAAATGCTCAAAGATGTTACAACCTTCAGTCAAATTTGTACCAAGGTTTAGTAGTATGCAAAAGAAAAACACTGCTCGGAGTGTACAGTTCTTCAATACTAGATCAAGATAGCTGCTCAATGCTGTACTTGGACCTCCTCCTCCCTCTGCAAAATGAATCAGTCCAAACATCTCAAACAGGTGATTGCTAGTAAAATAATCCTAGCATGTAGCAGCCTTCTTGAAAATTTTCAATAGTGGTAGATTAGAAATAAGGTACTTAGCACAATGAAAACACACCCATTTCTTAAACGTTAAGACAGGGATAACTCTTCTGAGGACAGAAAAGCAACACTTGAAAAATACAGGCTTTTCTAAAATAATGCTTAGGACAAGTTACAGTCTGAAGAGTTGAACTTTTGATTAGATCTCTGTTACAAGTAAGTCATCACCATATTCATAGCAAAGAGTAGCAGCTGACCCAGACTGGGCTACCAAAGATCTTGTTAAAACCCAATGGCAAGCACTGGATAATAATAAACATTAGGAAATTCATGCAGATGTAGCTGTAAGTAGTTTTGTTTGGTGTTTTTTATTCTTGCATTATCACTGTACCCAAGATGCAAGAAGACACAATCAAACACTGGCTTAGTCTGCATGAATGTAAATAAAGTAAAATAATAACGCAACAAGACGAAGAGAAGTCTTTGGATAACCTCAGAGGTAGGCACTACAGAAAGTTACTCACTTTGGAGAAAAAAGAAATCCAGTAATCCAAACTCATTAGTGTCTTTACTCCTGAGGGAGCCAATTTTACAGCAGAGTAACACTAATTGATAGAAAATAATTTATAACACAAAGCCACACGCATTAACCCTACAGACTAGCAGTGACATTTTCACCTAGTCTCTCAAAACAAATTTACTGCTTTGGCAGTAAATTAAGGCATAGACAATAGATTCTCCTCCAAGAAACAAAAAGTTTAAGAGGTCCTTTGTAAGCAATACTAGGATAAAACAAAACAAGGTGGTCAATTAGACAAAATAAATAAGTTTACAATCAATTTTACTGAATAACTAACAATATCTCAATATAGCCCACAGGTATCCCCAGCAGAAGGGGGTCAAAATTGAAAGAGTACAAAACATCCAAAGCAAAATAACCAGAAACAGCAAATTGCTAATTTTGTACCTTCAAAGAAGGTATAGGCTGAACTTCCACAGCATCAACTCTTGTAACACTGATCAGTCTGTAACCTTCTGTCCCTTCTCATATCAAGGTTCTTAGCAATATCTTTCTGACACAGGTACAGATGAATTCTTTAGGACTTATTCATTCCCTAACAGCACAAGCTTGAAAAACCTCCTCCTCTACAGACAGGTCTGTCACTGATAGCAGATGCTAATTATATAAAACTAATGGAACTGGATTTCTAAGTTAGCAATTCAATCACTATCACACAGTGGAAGTCCTTAATTATTTTTAAAAGGCTAATATATAGCAGCACATTTTCCAAGCGAAAAGACATGTAGTCTAAAAACAGTTTAAAGCTTCATGGATATAAAAACCCACAGAATACCTGAAGGGGAGAGATTATCTTGCTGTTCAAGGGTGATGGCTTACTGTGAGATTCTTTGAAGCTTTCTGGTGTTGCAAGTTGGCCAACCGAGGCAGAGATGTTTGGTGTTAAGGAAGTCTTAGTGAGAGACTGCTGCTGCATTTGGTCATGCTGTGGGGTCAACCTGAGTTTCTGGAGAAGATCAACACTTGTATGGGATGTATTTGAGACAGTTCCTGTGTTTGTTGATGTCAAGGGTGCTATAAGCTGGCTTTGGCCAGCTATTAGATTTTGTGGAGCGTGGTTCACTTCAGATGGCGGCTGATTCACTAGTGGGGATATCTGCTTGGCAGCTTGCTGCATAACTTGCATTATACTGTTGTTTTGTTTTAGGCCAGGAAGCATCTGAGCAGGGGCAGCTTCCATTGTCAAGGCTGAATTAAGAACAGGGCTTAAACGAACTGAATAGCTTGAAACATTTTTTATATCAGTCTGGGAAACTGACGCTGGAGGTATTAGCATAGGTGTTAAACATTCCTGGTGATTCAAAGGATTGGCACTGGTTTTAACGCTTGGACTTTCAGATTTCCCTAGTGATTGTTGTATTACTGTTGACTGGTCAAAGGAAAAAGGCAAGAGCAAACTATGCTGCTCTTTGGCAGAGGTGTCAGTCTGCAACTTCTCCATTCTCTCTGGATTGGGATACGGAGCTGTGGGCTGTTCCTTTGGTATAGAGGTTCCAAACAGTTCCTCCAAAGTCAGATGCTTCTGCATTGACTGAAATGGCTAGAAAGAAGGGAAAAGGAAATTTTCAGTTTAGAAATATACATACCACTGTGCATCTCACACGGTCTATTACAATTTCAAGAAAACTATGAAAGACAACTAGGTCAAATAGATTTAAAATACAGTTTGGATATCAAGGCTGCCCTATTTACAGGAATTATTTCATTTACAAGTAACATCCTCTCTATGTAAGCTTTTTCTCTACAGCCTTCTATGGATAGGCTATACATTAGTAGTAAAGTAGGAGCAAGGATACAGATTCTGCGATTAAGATGGCACCTGCCATCATTGATCAGCCCTAACTACACAAGGCACTTCGGAGGCTGGGGGGAAAGAACATACATGTTGAACAAAATCCATATAGAATTTATAGAATTGGAACTATTTAAATGGCCTAAAAGATGGGAAAGGAACAGAGAAACCTGAAGGTACACAACTGATCTAGCAGTACATGCCTAGACAGTTCTTCCCACCATTTTCATTAACAATGAAATAGATGTTACAATAGGTAAAAGAATCTGTATAAACCTAAACATATGTATATATACACACACAATTACATCTACCAGTCCTTTAGTCTCTCCCAAAAATATACATCTAGCCTACATCACCGACATTATTACAGAAATCTAATTTTTAGGATATAATCTTATTATTTTGCTGAAAATATTTAAATATGTGTTTCACTAAAGAGAACAGAAACAGCTATTAACACTCTTAATCTCAAAATCCCCCCCCCTTTTTTTTTTCTTTTTTAAGGTTGCACAGTACCAGAAGTTATGTAAAACAGCTGCACTAAAATACAACATTCTGTTCAGAAGACTGAATGGCCTGCAGCACAGTTCCAGTGTATTCTGATGGTATGTCTAAACAAAGATGCTATTTTATAATGACAACTACTGTACCATGACATTGTTATGCTAGCTCTAATTTTACTAGCACAGATAACAGCAGTGAAGGTATGGCAGTACAGGTAGCATGCAAGTAGCCTAACAAAAAAGCCTTTAGCTTAAATCACTTGACTTCTGCCCAGGTTACTAATCTCTACTGCCATTGTTGTTACTCATTTTTAGCTAGCTTGAAGTCAGGCACACTTTCATTTTGCAGCTGAGACATCCTATAGTTTATAAATCTTGTTAATTACATTAGGAATTCTTCCTAGAAAGGTGTTCTCACTTTTCTCCACTGATCTGACTGTTCTGGAGACCTGTCCTTCAACTGTAAAGATTCTGTTAAGAGAAAAATCACTATTCCATCTCATTTCAAACTCAGCTTTTCACTTCAGTATGATAAATTGACTAGCTTTCCTTTATTAATACATTACAATATTCAAGTAATATACAGAAATCTCTACCATGCTCTGATCCAAGTCAGACCAGCCCCTTACGTGGACACAGTCTGAAACATGAAGTTAATTTCCAGCCTGAAGTATAAAACACATCTTTTGCCTGTCCCATATCTGGCTGAAGTATACTTTGAGTGTATCATCAACTCAGCGTGTTATGAAGACCCTTATCAGCAGGGGCTGCAAAAAGGCAACATGATCACTTCACTGGATAGGAACAGAGTGCTGCTCAGACAGCTCCTCCAGAAATCATTTCAGATATATTGAAACATGAATTAGCAATCAGAGCTGGCACTATAAAGTTTAAGTTCAGTGTTCTGGTTCCATTTTGCCGATTGTTGGCACAAAAGCATTTCACTATACAACTGATTTTCATTTTGAACTGCCAAGATAAAAACTTGACCTTCAGAATATCACAAAGATGACATTTATTTTTATTCCCAAATCTGTGATATCTTTAGCATGAAATGAAGTTAGCCAATCAAAATACAAGTGTGACATCTTGGAGGGGGTTTAGGCATCTCACTGTACTTATCATGTGTATATTATTTTTTAATTTCACTGGCCACCTGTTTCAATTAGATGAGAAATTTATTTTTACAGTTGAAATGGAATGTTTTTTCCAGTAGCCTTCCAGTTGTCCACATTATTAAAAGTGTGATTAAGAACAAACACATTTGTGATATATTTGAACCCAGTTAACTAGCTTTACAGAATTATCACTTGTTACCCAATTAATTTTCCAATATCTCTGCAGTTATTATTTTAAACAGCTCAGCAGAATTAAAAATATGCCATTTCACCTGTTCTATAAATCAGCTGTTTCCTTTTAATTACTTCAGAGCAATTTGTTAGAATCTTATCTTTCCTTACTAGATATTTGATTTCTGTTCTGCAATTCCATGCGCTGTCAGGTGGGGCACTTCAGCTGCTTGTGTACAGTCTACATGGAATGACCCAAAAGAAAGCATCTTCTTTTAAAACAAAGCCTCAGGCAGCCCTGCTGCCAGGTCTCAAGACCAGGCGTGCAGCAGAGCTGGCTGCCGGGGTCAGTGTATCACTTGTGCTGATCCAAAAGCAGAGGTGCCGCTGAGGGAGTAGAGGGGACTGTGATAGCAAATAATCCCAGCAAACTTCCCACCCCTCGTTTTAATTCATTAACTGTTACTACTCCATCCCCTAGAACAGATTCCTGCTGCCCAGACCCCAGACCTAACCTATACTAGAAATTATTACTACTATTACTACAAAGTAAGTATTTTGTTTACAAGTACTAAGTGCAAGGCCGCATGCATTTTCATAGGGCATTTCATTTTTCAGACACGGTGGTTTATTGCATCAGAAACACAACAGTAAACTATTGAAAGGATGGGAGGCAGGCCTTGCAGCTTACTTCAGTGGGCTATTTTCTGAGGAGAACCACTACTGACCTTTCCATGCCCACTGGGTGGCACTGTAAGCAGGCCCAAGTTAATTAGGTGTTACATGGAATTTAGTTACTGTACTTTTTTTTTTTTCCTAAATTTATCTCTAAAGTCTTGTATGAAGCTACAGCTTCCTTGTGCAGAAATGCTTACAAGAAAATGGAGCCAAATACTGAACTATTACTACCTATTCCAGCCACTCCAGTGATGATACTAAGTATTTTGTACTAAGTTTCCTGTGGTTCAAAGACAACATTTATATGAAGCAGAGGTTATTTTCACTGGCATTTTTACTGTGGTTTAAACTTTAATTACAGGAGTAACACCAAGCTTTAGATTTTGTAGATATTTGGATACATGCTGATTCAACATGTTGTATCTAACACTTACCTGAAATAGATGTCAACACTAGTATTACCACAATTTGAGCAACATCCCTCCCCAAAAACAATGAAAATTTTTTTTACAGTATTTCCCTTCCTGCAGAGGAAGGAATATACTGTCAAAAAGTTCTTAACACAGGGGAAAAAAAAGACCCCAAACAACAGTCCTCTTCTGCCCACAACAAAAAAACCCAAACACTGAAGCAAACCAACAGAAAACCACATACACTTTTTCCACAATCTAAATATGAAGGAATCAGCCAAGCTGACTGGTATCATTACCAAATAGTCATACAAGCAGAGGTTCAATGCAAGCTACAGAAGTGTGGCAGAAGATAGGCAAACACATCTTCAGTTATGCTAAGGAGAATTCAGTGCCGCCATGACTGAAGCGCTTTCCGTTTCTTGTCTAACAATTCACTGTTGGTTTAAGTTAGCAGGACTGTAGCTATTGCTTTGAAGGCAGCACAGATAAACCTTAAGTAAATGCCTGAACATGAGAAAATAGAGCTTAAGCTCATGTGTCAAGAACTGTAACACAGTATACAACTAACTGATGCCATATTCAGTCCAATAACGTGGCAGAGGTTATTTTTTCTTGCTTCCTTGCTCTGCGAGTCATCCTGCACATTACCACAGACTGATTTCTTCCAGAATCCAAGTTAGCCCATTTAAACATACTTGGATATTCACAGTAGTGTGGACATAGCCTCATATTTTTAAATGCCAAGTCAAAAGACAGAATTTAAGATCCTAAAAGTCTTCAAACCCATTAGTTCATTCAAAATGGTAATACATTCAGCAGACAACACTGCAGGCATTCTGAGAAAAGAATATTTTGGTACCAAACCAAAGTACTAAATGGAAAAAAAAAGTAGCACCTTATCTAGATTTGGATGAAACATACCTGCTCCTGCACTTGTAATGAAGTTTTTTGTTCTGAAGGCTCTGTGCTTTCTGGCTTTGGAGGATTTGCATTTTGTTGCATTCCAGAACTTGATATAACACTTAAGTCACTGACCTGATTCTAAAAGAAGAAAGAACAACAACAACAAAGTAACACAAATACATGAGCTTTAAGTCTACATTTATCCACTACTACGATCCTGTTTACATGGCACTTTGACTGAAATACAGACAGTGTACAGAGTAGCGATTTTTCTAAGACACTTCCTAAAATTTGTGAATTTCTGTAAAAATCATACCAAGACATCCACCATCTGCTATGTATTCATAAAGCTTTTACTCTATTAAAAAAAACCCAAACAAACAGACAACAGCTCACGTCATACTTTTTTCACTAAGGAAAAAAAAAAAAAGGCAGGCTTTTCACATCCTTTATCTACATTAGCCACTAATAAGGAAGTTTGCTATACTTCATTAAATCAAGAACCCAAACTAGAAACAACTTAGAGAAAAAAATCCTGTCAGAAATCATTCTATGTGGCTGGCAAGAGAGCTTGTCACTGACTTACTTCCACCAGATTTAATTAACCATGTACATGTATTTTCAGAAGGTGTTAATCTGGTTCTCTGTGAACAAGGCAGGAAACAGACAAGAGTTGCATTATAACAGACAGTATGTTTATAGATAAAGTTGACTTTCATCTTTAATAAATAAATAAATACATAAACGAAAATAGAAATTGTATTATAGTTTAAATCACCAGTGGAAAAACCCAAACTGTACAACAGTCTAGCTTTCAATAGGTAAACTACACCTTGTGCATATGATACAGCTGCATATTAGTACAACACATGATGACTGCTCTATTGACTTACCCACAGCAGCAAAATATGGGTTAAACTTTTTAGTAACAAGCTAAAAAGCAATCTGAACTTTATTATTCTTTTGTCTTCAATTTCTAATTGAAAGAAATAAATACAAAATCAAGACTTTATATTGTGATTTAGGGACAGAGGTGAGAAGCAACTTCTCCCATCTTTCTGACTTTTAGCCACTAACTTGAAGGTCAAAGCTCTTTATGCCTGAAGTGCTAGATGCCTTGTGGTTACAAAAAAAATCATACAAAGCATAGTTTTCTTTTCACTAGAGGATGAGCTGCACTATGTTTCCATGCTCATGCTGAAGCACACACACACACAAACCACCACACTATAAAAAGCATCCATTCACTTCATCAAAAAAAATAAAAATCTCAGAATTCATTCATTTTCACATATGGACTTGATGTAGCGAGTACTTGAAGGATTAAGCTGATTTAGAATCCTAGATTAAATCACTCAGACCTTCATAAATCTCTTTTTCACTCTCTCTGCCCCCTTCTCATGCTGACACTCCGCCAATCTCATGTGGGCTGCACACAAGGATTACTGTATGATCCATCTGGAATGTACCAGGAAGATAAGTACTTTCTGCTCCTAAATACAAATTCATGTGTAATTACTGAGTGCCATAAAATAATATATAAAAAAAATTAAGACAGGAAAGGTCTCTCAAGAAGCCATCTTCAAAACAAGTTGGTTACCTAATCATGTTAACATCGACATAACTTGGCTACAAGGAGTTCCAAAATTAATGTGCCAGAGGTTTGTTGCTAAAGCTGAGATGGTTAACAGAACATTCTCCAAAGAAGTTAGCTTGAAACATGACCAACATGCTCAACTCTGTTTATCTCGCAACTTCTACACAACTACAGTCATAGCAGGCTATGGGATTATGTTCAACAGATTCAGTTTACATACACAAAAAGGAAATTAAATAATTATTCTAGTTTCACTAGTGTTCTAAAAGCATCAAGAAAAACAAACACACACAATGACAACAAATCAAGATCAAGACACAAAGACCCCAATTATATAGTAGCTCTACTGTAGTCCATGCCCTACGTATTTGCCTGTTGTATTACAGGCACCACAGACATAAACTGTCCACCATAAAAATCTGCATACCATTCCCTGTATATCACAGTATTTTACTTGTCTACAAAGCTTCATCCATGATGCTTAGGAACTTTGTTTCTAGCAAAAGCTTCTCAGTACTCTCACATGAAAAAGATCTGAAAATCAGGAGAGAAGCTGGAATATCCTGAGTCATTTTTAAGAACCATCTGTTAGAAATGTGTATTATCCAATACTGCAAGTACAAAGAGGGAGAAAGGCTTCATCACACCCTAAGAGGGCACTACCAAAACAGTGAGTTCTTGTGGTATGTGTTTTCTTTTTTTGTTTTGCATTTTTTTTCCCAATTTCTTCAAATCCATCTCAATTAATGCAACATTGAAAGATGAGTCATTCAGGTTTTGATGCTTCCTTCTATGTGCTCACAAAAACTGCTACTTCCACAATGCTGGCCTTTCTACAAAGACACCGTCTCTCCAGACAGCATTGATTATCAGAGAATCAGATGTAATTTTTTTTTTTTTTTTTCAATCTGTATTTAAAGCGTTCAAAAAACACATCACTGATTTTCAGAAACTAGTAGCTAGACTGGGTCAAATACATTGTATGGTTTGTCACATTCACTTGCCCTCAATCTGTGTCAGAAAGTGACAAGTTAAGTTGGCTCATACAACGCTTAATCCATGTGTTCATTCTTTTTTCCTCATCCCACACTGTACTGTAACAATCAGGTATGCTATAAAGATTCAAATCCCAAGTACTCAACTCTGTGGTGACCTACTGCACAAGCAACTTCTGGAAGGAATCAAGCACTCCACTAATGTGGTAACTCTTCTCCCACCAGTACGGTGACAAAAACCATACCACAGCTCTGCAATGTTACACTCACACATTACTTCACTATTGCACGTTCTTGTATTATTGTACTTCTGGAGAGGCATGTTCAGGATCTTTGTTTCTTTTTTCGGATCTCCCACATATTACCCTTATATTTGCCCTGTAGGTATGAATTTGGTCCTCAGGACCATATAAAGTAATTCTTTCCTAAGAGAAGTAATATTCTCCTTCAGTAGGTAAACTTGTGAATTTAGCACTGGCAAAAGATACCAGACTCACCCTTCTGAAATCAATAGACACACAGTAGACAGGACAGAAGTAGTAAACTAGGGAACAGAAGGATAAGGGAACAGTATTGTTATACTTAGTCTACAGCTATTAAAAATATGCTTCATAGAGTCTACAAATGTACTGAATTACTAAATCTCTAATACCACAAAACTTCTTTTGAGACTAAGAGACAGACACTCTTGGGTACAATTTTTATTTGCTATTCCCAGAGACAAAATTTTCTCACAGCAGTAGAAATTGTTGTAAAATGGGTCTATCAAGCTATATTTCAAGTTGGATCACACAATCAGTATTCAACCTATCTTGCCTGAAATCAGAGACTGCTTCCTAGTACAGGAAGGGAACAAGACAGATACTTGAGGGAGGGAACAAGACATCAGTCAGAAAACAAGGGTACTGAAACAATGGCAGAGAATGCCTGCTCTTTAAACAGAACACAGCTAACGTGTTAAAAACTAGTTTCCACATAGGCTTTCTTAAAAATGAAGAATAATTAAAAAGTAGGCAAAGAGTTGCCCACTAAGGTAATAATTACAGAAATAAAACATGAATTCATGCAATATGCAAATCCCACGCTGTTTTAAAATATGAATTTTTCCCCACATTACCCCTTCTCTCTAAGTCGTTGTACATCTGTGCTCATATCACAGACATGGGATAGTTCACAAAGTTTCTGGGCTTCTGTTATATTATTCAACATGTCAAAGCATTTTATTGTGCAGCTCAGTGAATGCTCTTATGACATGAATCATAGCAAGTCTCCTCCAGTGACTTTCAGAACAGACAAAAAAACTGAAAAACCAAAGTGTCAGCCATTATAAGGAGTATTTACAATAACAGAACTTCCAGATCACAAAACCAGATATGTTCAGTGGTACATTCTACAGTGTTACATATATACCTCTTTGTTCATTTCTCCTTTGACAATGATCTTACAGAACAAGACAGTAGATGAGTACTGAGATTAAGCAGTCCATGCAGCTGTTTTTAGAAAAATATTTTGTTGTGCCTGCATCTCCAGGTATCTGTTTTTAAATTGTATTTTTTTTTCCCCACCAGAAGGTAGTAATTCAAACATAAGAATATATAGGCCCATTAAACTATGGATCAGGTGAACTAGTTTGCAATCTTGGGTTACAGTGTATTGCACAGGACAGTTTAGTATATAAGAATTACTCTCTACCATCTCTCTCAGAAATCATAGGGCATGCTCTTTCAGTGGACTCCATATGATGTCCTAAGCCCCTTATTCAGAAGTAAAAGTCATGTTTTTGTTTGTTCGTAAGATTAGGGAAAAAAAAATTAGAGAAGAAGAAAAAAAAAAGATATTTCCTTACTCGTTCATATTCATCCTTGGCTTTACTAAGCATTTCAAGGATGTCAATGGGCCTGTTTTCATTGCAGCCATTGGTTCTGCTGGGACTTTTTCTGTCCTGGGAAACTTGCTGCGATCTCTGAGCTTCTTGTTCTACCACTCTACAACAGGAAAGGAGAAACAGGATTTTAAAATTTTATCTGGAGTTAACGTCTTGCAAGAAGCAGTAAAGTGTACTCCCAGTGTATTACCACATTTTGCTCTGCCTAAGTAAAAACCTAACACATAGTTAACCAAAGTTACACAAGTTTTCATTTGCTACAAGGTTTATACAAGTCAAATGTTAAATAGTCTGTATGATTTATCTCCAATGCAGACAGCACTGGTCTGTCTCTCAAAGTTTGCCTACAGTAAACACTACTTCTGTAAAGCTGTCATATTTAGATATTTTTACAATAAAATATGTGGACATTCAAGCATGCATTATACAAAGAGCACATGTATTATACCACAGACAGTAAAATACATTTTTTACTCTTTACTTCCTAACATGCATTTTTTCCATATTCAGTCAAATCAAGCGATGGTATTCAACAAAATCAATTACAAAACAGTTCTAATTTAGGATGAGGCCTACCATTATACCACAAAACAAAGACAGTGGGAAAGAAGAGAGCTGGCTCACACCACATGTCTCTGAAGTCAGTCTGCAAGGAGGCTTAGAGCAAGTTACCCCTTACTCCCCCACTTCAGGCTCTGGAAAGAAGGGCAAACCATTTTCTTCTCTAGCTGCTCTGTAGTCATTCCAATTACCTGCAGGTCTACAACACATCTTTTTCTCTGGACTTAGGTGCCTACAGTTCATTCACCACTTCTACTCCACCCCTACCTGCCTCAAGTATCAAAAAACTCAGTTTAAAAGATGGTTAAGATATGAAAGATGATGTGTACCTGGTATGTTTCATTAATAAAAGTAAAAGGCAGCATATACTTCTAATCCATATGCAGTTCACAAGATATACATGGCTGTGCAACACGCTAAAGCTTATCCTCTTGAAATAAACACACACCAGCCTGTAATCCCTTCTTTTTTAAGCCTGCATTAATCAAATATGTTAAGAAAAAACAATCCCTGTAAACAGGGCAGAGCTCTGGAGCTGGCATGTCACTTGAGAACTCTCATGCTGTGGAACTGATGGCTGATGGGGGAGCCAAGAGGTGCCATCATAATAATCACAGAAAGCGTCAATCATGCCAGCCTCCAGTTTCTTCGGGTCAGTTAAGATTCAGGACAAATTCTAGATTTTATAGACTGTACAGTAATTTGATATTTATATGCACTTCTTTGTTGCCATTTCTGAGGAAAATAGTAGTTCAAAGTCCTGGAAGTTTCTTCCCAGTGTTCTAGCAACCAGGCCTCTACTTGACTACAGTTTAGCTGCATTTATTTGAAGAAAGGTTAGATTTAGCTTTTAACAATTCAATATTACTTTCAAAATTACTTTGAAAATTTTTAATCATACAAGCTGCTTATTTAACCAGCTTCTCATTATTACTACAGCTTTCTCTGTAAGCAAACATTCACCTGCAAACATAACTCAGAATAGCCAATCTACACTCTGTCTGATAATTTCTAAGAATTGCAGCATGTGCTCCTTTGGATGAAGCGGCTCAATACTGTACAAATGTTTCTATGGTGACACCCTGAGAGAACATTTTGTTCTAGCACCCCACGCGGTCATACAGTCCTGACATAGGACCTGTCTAAACTCAACTGCAAAACTAGGGATGAGAAAGGGCAAGGTAAAAGAACCAGAATACTTTGCTGAGATTTTAAGTGTCAGCATAATTGTATCAGAAAAAATAAATACTTCAGTTAAAGGGAAAAGTCTGGACAGCTGAACTCATGCATGTGCTGCCTGATAGGTGAAGCAAAGGCTTCAGTCTTGACACACTCCTGCTCTTAACTAGTTGGTCCAGAAGGTTTCAGTAAAACATCTTCCCATTAAAATGGTACTAATTGGTCTCACAGCAAAACATCTTCAAGGAGTATATCCATTTCACAGAAGTGTCTCACAAAGATTTCTGAAAAACATTTCATAATATTTTTCTATCATCCATTATGAAGTGTTTATTACCCTTATTAAAGTTTAATTTTTTTTTGAGAATAACAAATTATATTCTCATGTAGAAAATTGTCTAATAGCTCTTCCTCAATCTTCTTTCTTGTGCAGCTTACATTCAGATGATGATGGGGTAAATGTGAAACCGTACACCCCCAAAACTCTGAGATACTCTCCCACTTCTACCTTCCTGCCTGTATCTCAGAAGCCAGTTTGGGTCTGACTGTTGAAAGAGGGTGAAACAAGCTTATAAACTAACCTAAACATAAGGAAACCCTACAAATTCACATGTCAATGCAATTGTTTAACAAAGAGTTGAAAAACCCTAGTTTCTGTCCTACTTCTTCTAGAAAGCTCATCCCTCAAACAATCATCTTGACTTAACTTGACCCAAATTAATTCCTTCTAAAGTTAGGAGTTTGATGACTCCCATAATTTTTTTTCATTTCAGAAAATTCTAGAATTCTTTAAAAAAAAAAAAGTTCTGTAAATTGAATACCTTTGCTGGGGAAAAAAGTCAACTAATACAAATCTGTACACTGAGCATGATCTGTATGCAATCCAGGATTAAATCTTTTTTTAAGCAAGGCCTGCTGTTTCTTTCCATTATATCAGATAGTGGAAGAGGCACACATTCCTTCAGGGACACAGTAGCTGCTGTGACAGTTTGCTTAAGAATATCTGCAGTTAGAGCACTGAAAACATACCTGGCACAACCTCACAGAAGGAGGGAGAGGGGGCAGGCAGGGGGACAGAGGGAGGGAGGGAGAGAGAGAGAGAATGTGAGAAGTGAAGTCTGTGATTACAAAGCCTACAAACACTAATTTACTTTTCTTTTGAAAGATAAGCCACCAAAATATAAATGGACGGCCTGCAATCTTGTTAACTCAGTCTGGCACAATAAGGTCAAGTCAAACAGCAGGAAAGAGAACGCAAATCTCCTTGAAACCTTTTATGGTTATGTTTTTGAAGCTCTGAGGTACTACAAAGGCAGTACTCTTCCCTATCAGTGATAAAAAAAAAAAACCCACCTAAACAAAAGGGTACAAAACCAAATTTCCACCCAAGACAAAGACAAAAAACTGTGGAACAAAATTAATACTCTTGGAAGACAACGTAAATATTTATTTCAAAATATACTGAACTAAGCCTGATGGAGCCTGCTACCATGCGCTGAAATGTGGCTTTCCTTCTCTAGGATTCTATTTTATTTTTTTCAATTGAAGAGTATATTTTAAGTTGTCTTAAATACATCTTTTATCCCAGGATGGAAGAGTTCCTGCAGTTTCAGCCTCCTTTGTATAGAGAAGCACACAGAAGTATCAGCTTTTTTACTTTTCTTCTGACTGCCTTCTACCCATTTTGAGTGAGAGAAAGCTTGATGTTTGTGGAAACAGATGTCGGTAAAATACTATCAATCCGCTTTTCATCAAGTTTGTAACAGCAGCCTCACAAGTGCAGCTTTTCCATCCTGAAGCAATGTGCAACTAGAATGCTTTCATTTCATTTTCCCTAATATGAATCTTTAGATACTCAGAAGCTATAAGGCATGTGGTACCAAATGAAGTGTGATTTCATTCTACACTGCTTTTTCAACAAATACAAATAAATATAGTTACACTAAATACCTTTTTCAGTATAGAAATGGCTTCTGCCAATACTTTTGTTACCCCCAAAACAATACACAATTTTAAAGGAAAGATGAACTAGAAGTATTCAGATATTCCATAATCTAATAATGAAGAATGACTTTATGAAAAAAAGCACTCGGATAATGGACTTATTACTAGCAGCACTTAGGCTAACAAAGACCACTTATACCTTTTTTTGACCAAGTTAATGGCAGCAAAGACTGAAAATCATAAAGTGAGGACCTAGCCAACTCAGCAAAATTAAGCTGTCTGTATTCTGTCAATGTCCAATCAATAAATCTTTTTATGTGCACATTTGATTTCTCTAGATTCACCTGCTTAAGTTTGAAGTAACAAAGCTCAATACATGTTCCCCAAAGTCTGCTTGATACATTAACTAATTTCAGTTTCAAAGATAGTTTAATCCACAACCATTCCAACACCTACCATAAAATATTCCAACACTTAAAAAATACATTTCAGCTTTTTGACTTTCCAAAATAATATGTAATGTCAGAAGCTTTCTAGGGTGCTGAGATGCTACAGCCACAAGAGTGTGTGAGTACGTGCACCATAAACAGAGGTGAAGCAGTAACGCCCGCTTTGACACTTCTGCCTCTGTGTGTTAATAAAGCTGCAATATAGGCATCAGGGACCCAAGAAAAGGCAGGCTACAGTAGTTTACAAAGGAGATTACTATAAAGCTTAGATTATTCCAAGACTGACTTTAAATGAACCTGCTGGGTTGCAGTTATTTCCCAAATACTACAGAATCCAGCAACAAGGGTAGACATGCTTTATGGACTGCTGTGCCATGGCTAGACTCATCTGTTACCTGATCACACTTTTAAAGATCCCTGAAGTATCTATAGCCCATGATTTGTGCTATAGTAGCTATACTAGTTTAATACCAAATGAACTCAAGTTTTGCTATAATGACACTTAAAACTGCAGTGTAGCTGTGCATGACAGAATAAGAACATGGCAGAGTTTGAAGGGTTCAGTTCTCTCTCCCACTTCAAACATTACTCATGGTTTTAAATTAAAAGGTGCATTAAAAAAACAGAAAGCCATGCCTTTCTCATGCTCTGTTTATAAAGCAGAGAAGCAATAGACATTTTGTTACTTGTTTTGCTAACAATTTCTGACAGTCACTTTCACACAATTGTTTTCCATTAACCCTTATAATTAATCCTTACATTTGGACAAGTCAAATAACAGCAAAAAATCCAACATGGCTCGGAAGGAAAAAAAAAAGTGGGAAATGGGAACTGTATAGGGTTATCAGGATGAAAGAAAAAAAAAAAAAAGAATTTAGAAAGAGATCTTGATGGCAAAGTCTGTCATTTGTGTTGTCTTACATTGCTTCTGCAGGGAAAAGCCAAAATAACCCAAAGGAAAAACCCCAGACTAAGAAATTAGAATTCAGCTTAAAATGTCTACACTATGACTAGTTTCCATATAATTAAATTTTGCCAGTCTTCAAGATGACCTGACTTGCAAGACACGACATGTTGATTAAGGCATGCAATAGAAAAGAAAGTTCAGGAAAGTAGCGTGATAGCGAAGAAAAGCAAAGCAGGGAACAAGGGATGAGAAGATACCCTGTGCAGTACATCTGCATTTTGCAATTTTGCATTTTTGCTAGTGTCACTACCCTGTCACGTAATTAAAGCTCCTTCCTTTCATAAAGACATTGGAGATTTGCTTAAGTTAATTCTCATCCTTTTCTACTAGTAAAAAGTCTTGGCTTAATCTGCAAGGCATCTCACTTGAAGGACCAGAAAGGTGCAAGAATACCCTCCAATCACAACACGTTTTAAAGACTTTATGCCACACTACCAACTCAACCAGTTCCAGCCTTCTTTGACCTCTGTTGTTCACTCAAACTCCTGTACTCTATCTGAAGCCCTCAGCTGTGGCAGTGCAATCATCTACAGTACAGATACACTAACTGCATTGCTACAGTGATAGCAGCTTAAACAAACAAACCAACCAACCATGTTATTACAGATTCTTTTAAGGTTTCTTTAAATTGAGATTACTTCAGAATTTCTACTCCATGACATCTCTAGGAGCCTGTGGAACTACAAAGTAAGAGAAGTGACATGGCAGGCTTATAAACCAACTTTATTTCAAAAGGGGGGAAAAAAGGGAAGAAAAAAAAATAATCAAACAATCCAGAAATTAGCAACAAAAAGTTCCTATTATTTCATAGTTCTGCTGACTCTCCTAACATCACTTTAATGCTGTAAGATTCCACCTACTTCCCCCACTATTCTCCAATCTCTTTACTTTAGTCAGGAATAATAACTAAGCCTTAAAAAAAACCCAAATAAACAAACAAAAAAACTCCCCCCAAAAACCACAAACCCAAACAAAAACCAACCCATCACCAACCAAAAAAAAGTGGCCATCATTTATTTGATTACACTTTGTGCATCAGAGGATCTTTTGCCAGCATCCTTATACAAAATAAAATATAAAATAATAAACTGTTCATACTTGCTTTCTTTGGAGAATGCCAACTAATACTTCAACTGATTTTTTTACCACTTAACTGAAAATTTTAGTACTGTAGTTTTTTTTAAAAAAATAATAAATCGATTACTTAAAAAACTTGTACCAGCAAGAACGTTCTATTTTTCTATTTAAGGAGAATGAGAAAAAAAGCCAAACATGTTTAATAGGTTCAATTTTTTTTTTCTGATTGTATAAAAGAATTACAGAATAATAAGACCACAGTACTTACTTAGCCATGAGTTTTGCTATTCGATGACAGTCATTCTTGTCATAAAACCAGATACTGTAAATTGACACTTGAAAATAAGAAAAGAAAAAAAGCAAGCATAAGACAAAGGTTAAAATAATCAAGTCAATAGCAATAAAGCAAAAACCCAGCAGCTCATTAAATCTGCAACATAGGAATTACCATCAATTTCCACTCAAATATTCTGTGACCAACTTCTGTTTATAAAGTAATCAGAAATAGCACATGTGCAAACACAAATACAACTTCAGTCAGATTAAATGCAAGACCTACAAAATGCTGATCCTGTTTATAAATAGAAGTGGCAGAAAAATAAAGTTTAACTACCAGATGCCTTCTTACTACAGTTGCAACCTTCTGTTTTGAATTACTGACTGTACCATTTAAACTAGGCTAAAGAATATCCTTTTTTTTTTTTAACCACTCATTTTTAAATTTGTCAATTTTTGAAGCTCAACAAAAATATTAAAGTTTGAATTACAGCATAACAGTTCAATCAGAGGCTCTCCAGAAGGTTCCCTCTCCAAATTATTTTTTTAAAGAGAGATGTAATTTTATAGGAAGGAAGCAATACCAAAGCTCCAATCACACCATCACATTAATGGAGCAGCTTAAAACTAGATTCCTACTGAACCCTACTCTTTGACAGTATCAAGGACAAAGCAATGAGTGCAAAAGGGTTCCAGCTCAGCAAGACACTAAGCCCTATTCTGGCTTTCAGAATAAGTAAAATTCCACTGAAAGTTGCCAGAGTTGGAGCCTGATCACGGAGCTGAAGGATATTCCATCAGAGGGAGTAACTTTGTTAGTAGTACCAGGTACTATTTCTTCATCAGCAATCCCACTTCAAAGAAGCCATTTTTACCCACACACGTACTCATCTCACTGTCCCCACAGTTGTGCCAACACAACAGATCTGCAGAACTCTTTTCAGAACTGTATTTAATCAAACCCACAAAGCAAGTTATTTTAAATCTTGGTTCACCTATCAAGTTTGTCAATGCTTAGTGTGCAAGTACATCAAAGGCAACTGGACACTTTACATGTTACCATTAACGTATTTTCATTTCTGAAAAAGACACTTTTAGCATTTTAAAACTCATCTTTATACCGCAGTTCATGCCAATGTTTATGAAGTTGAAATCACTAGCTGATTATAAAAATATGACTTAAAGTGAAGGAAAGTAATGTTTAAAAAAACAAACAAACAACCCAACACACAAAACCCCACAACCTTTTCCAGCCAGATGTAGATTTTTATTTCAAAGTGAAATCTTCCCCCCACTTTTTTCCTTCCTCAAAACACTCAAAAACTTCAACCAAAGCCCACTCAAAATTATTTCAAGCCACAGCAAAGAGGCACTTATTTACCAAACTTTTTTCTAGACCTTCCAGTTATCTTAGACTTACTGTGTTTGACCAAAACCCTCAAAAAGCCATGCCCACAATTCATTTCTATAACAATATCCTAAGACAAACTGAAGTTCTACTTTGCTTTTTTTAAAATTTTATTAAACAACAACTATATTCATTTGGGTGTTTGTTTCTTTAGAAGTCACAGCTTAAGTAGACAACAAAGCTTTTCAAGTCATAAACAAAGAAACACAGCACAATTTAAGGAACTTTCTTCTTACAAAAGATATAAGCCAATTAGAAAAAAAAGCATTTCATACATGCAGCCAATGCTTATGAAATATTTATTAATATTTACAGTTTAATACAACTGGATTGTCTACTGCATAGAAACCTGAAGATGTTTCCAGTCTGAGCTATTTCTTTAGTCATGTAGCATATTTTAACACTGAAGAAAAGCTCTTTCCCTTCCCTGACTGCATTATCAGACAAACTGCCAAGAGAAGAAAGCTTCTTCAAAAGCATACTTGCTGAAGAAATGAAGATAAGGAACCTATAGTGATATCTTAATGGGACAAATGATAACAGTCACACTCAATTCTGCCAGAAACAGGCCTACACAAGACCAGAACTAGATCCAAATCTCAGTTTGGTGTACAGAGTATCAGGCTTTTTTCCACTTTATACTACTGGCAAGCAATCATAGGGAGTCACTGCAAAACATTAACAGTATTACAAAGATGTAAAGCAGATTGTGAACAAGTAAACTTGGGCATTAACTTAGATATGGTCCAACAGGCTGGAATGTTTATCTTCCTCTTTTCAAAAGAGGACTCACACTTGTACTATCGGTTCAGCTCCCTTGCCCCAGAAGTATGTGCGTGTGTGTGTCCCAACTGCATTACTATTTGATGTATTTCTTACATGCATGCAGTGTTAGCTGTGAACATCCTTTTATTAGAAACAGAGTTGGTACTTACCAGTCCTTTTCAAATCTGTGATCTTTTTACCACACCCAGCATAAACGTTAGCTGAACATTCATATATCATACTGCAGTTCTTTTAAGAGTTTGATCTAACAGAAGCCACTAAATCAAGTGACTCATTTTTCCATCAGTTCCAACACTTTCCATCCAGCTTTTTTCTACACTGAATGCTGGGCAGCATCTTTAGTAATCAAGTAGAAGCAGTTTGTAATCACCAGCAGCAATATCTTTCAGTTGGATTCACACTACATTTTGACACACGTGAAGTCATAAGTAACCCATAATACAGACAAATCAGATTTAATAAAATTGAAAGAAGTAATCAGTTATCTTCATCTACATTCTTCTCTGACATATGTCATTTTTATTAGAAACACCAACCCACAATGATTTATCTAAACATATAACACAAATTCTCTCCAAACTTGACTGGATCAATCAATAAAATTTGATTGAAATTGCTATGGGAAAACAAAAAGATTTTGAGGAAACAAAAGCATTATGGAAGTCTTCCTGCTCAAGCCTAACAGCTGGATGATACCAAAAGAAGGTCTTGGTCTCTTCTATATTGTGCTCCCACTGCTTCATGGGGCAGTCAGCTTACTGTTCCAATGCTGCCCAGTCAGCAGGTCTGAATTAAGAGTGCGGATAGCAAAGTGCCACAGTGAGACAGAAGCCTCACTCTTTGACAGCATAAAGTGAAGTTGCATCCCAAAGCTGTAGTTTCACTTCAGTTTTCATTGTAAGTTAACAGAAAGGAGCAGCATCACCACCCTTACATTCCCACAACTCTGCTGATAACTCATCCTACCCCAATTCACCCCTTTCCCTTATGTCAGCTGGATACATTTTAGTCCAGACCAGTTCCTTGACACTGCACATCAGCTTCACAAACATGCCATCTAGCACAAGAGAGGGTGCTGAAACAAGAAGCTGGGGGCAGCACAGTAAGGCAAAACTGTTAAAATGTTCATGAAACTCTAGCCTGAGAATGCTATGCCAGAAATGTACATGGGACTCATCAGTACTGCCAGTTTCGGAGATTCCAGACACTGTCACTCTCTTGCCTTAGGCAGTTCAGCCATTTGTGCAGATACAGCTTTATCTCATTCAAAAAGATGATCCATTTAAAAGTTACCTTAAATAGTTGGAAAAGCTGACAGAAGAGAGAGCAAAAGTTTTATTTTACAGTTCCAATTTAGATACTGCTATACAATGAGGCAGAACAACTGGGAGTGGAGGACAATAACCTTTCAAACTCTCTCTGGAAAGAAAGGACTCTTATTTTGAAACCCTTCCTGTAAGGTAATCATGGAAATCAACTTAACCCAATCTCAATCCTATAAAGAAAAGCACATACATGCATCGTTTTACACTTCAAATAGAGTTTAAGGTGAAAGCACAGAAAGCAATCTCTCTCAAAGCTCCTATTTCTTCCAGTAGCAAGGTTAGCTGAAATGCCACCTCTCAGCCAATCTGCTCTAATATCTTCTTCACCGAGATTCCTCATTCACTATTCGTATTTTCCTCTATTTAAACATTAGCCTGCCACACAGATTTATAAATCATTAGAATTAATTTTAAAAGTCCCTCCCTTTCTTATTGTTTTGAATAGCTAAGGCCATTTCACAAATACAGTTCACAGCACAATCCCACAAGCAGTTGCACTGGAGTAATTCAGCAGGTGTGTTGTCCCAAAACTTGTGGGATCTTTCACCCAGTGTGCAAGCCAGTAACACGGAGAGTTGAGGTATTAGCTGTTTATTGCTGGTTCTGTGCAGAAAGGGGTGCTGGGGGTATCCCTGCAAAGCTAGCACACCCAGCACAAAGTCATTCATTTATATGTTGTACATCAGCATAATTACCATACTCGCTGTTTATCTACTTTTTACTGGTGCCCGTAGTTCCATATTTTAAAGCTGACTGGGGTATAGTGTCCTCGCCTTCATTTAAAGGTGCAGTGTCTTTTAATTTTACTGCACAAGCTCAGTGGGTGAGGGTCTTCAGGTGGAGGCAGGTATCCTAACTTCTAGAGGTGTGGTCTTCATATTATAATTAGTTAAGTTCACCTAAAGGGCACATTTTAAACTGATTCATGCAGTATGGCCAAGCTTCTTGGGCAACCAGCCCACTAAAGTTTATGGTTCCTAGTTTTAGGTCAATTTGTTCTTTCTATTCCATTGTCTTGTCAAGTGTTACTTACCCAAGTGATTTACATTGACTACTTACCTTTAGTTCCCCAAGTTCGTAAAAAATGATGACCATAAAGATTTCAGTATCAGTGGCAAACAGCATCCAAGATCAAGAACACTTTAATGAACCACCATATGACAAAGTATAGTGTGGAATGAGAGGGATTACTACTTTGCAACACTGAATCAGAGTAGAAAACCCCTTCCACTTAGAGTGCCATCTTTGAGGTCAAACAAAATATTTTTAGAACTTCTTAAGAGCTTTCAATGATTCCTCCCCCCCAGCTTGCATTGGTTCTTCTGCTATAAAGTTATCAAGAACAGGCTCCTTTCTTATCTCAGACTAAACCACTGGGTTAATGTGCTTGCTGGAGAGCCATTCAGCTTTGGCAATCACAGAGATATGTTATACTTAATGCGCTGCCAGCTGGGAACAAAGGTTGTAATGAGAGACTTTCCTTACCAGTAAAGATGCCCTGTTTTGAAACCAGCCAGGAGCTCTTTCAAAAAATTTGAAAAGCCATTTGAAATAACACAACTAATTTTGCTTTTCTGAATATAAGTTTGTTTAATTAATGATAATACAAGAAGCCCTGAAGATAGCACTTTGTAACTGAGTTCTCCACTTAAACGTATAAACCCCTCCAAAATCTATTATTTTTGTTTTACTAACTCTTACCCTTAGACAGGAATAAGAAGCAAGCAAGAAAAAAAACCCCACACCCAAAAACCCCACACCAAACAAGGACCATTTATTTTAATACCCAAGTTTTATGCTTAGCATCTGTCTTTTCAGCACCATGGAAATCAATCTGCCTGACCTCCCAAGTGAACTAGCTTGGATTAAAAAGCCTTTTAATCAAGACCAACACCAGCGATACAGAGGGAAAGTTATAAACGAGAAAGACTTAGAAGAATACTTCTTGCAGACTTTAAGAGGTAAGTTGGCCATTGCTTAAAACTTTGACTAATTTTCCTCTATTATTAAGCAAACTGTCAACTTTCAGCTCCAAATTCTCACATTACAGATTGAAAGTACTGAACTTTGAGATTGGACTATTACTACTGTTACTGGCAGAACTGTATGCATTTTTTTAAACAGAGTTTAACACACTTTTCACAAAATACAGACAAGAGGAAACAAGCTTAGGTTCATTAAAAAAAAATAGGTCAATAGGATTCAGTGCTTCACGAACAAATACTCCAAATACTCTGAAGAATGTGCATGCATCCAGAGGGAAAGTTAGACCAAATCAAATGTACCCAGCAACACATAGTGCAGATTAAGCAATAATAAATAGCACATTAAGTATGAAGTTTAATCTAAAAATTTCTACATTTTAGGAGGAATTCTAAATTTAAAGTGTTACCTAAAGTCAAACAATTTCTTTTCATTTTGGTAATTTCTTAATTTGTTCACATTTGGAAATACTTGTTTTCTTTAATTCTCTCTAACAATGAAAAGTAGAATACCCTTATTTCTATTTACCACTGTAACTGGTATAATGCTTCACAGCTTCTTAGTCACACCCTCTGTCATTTTTGATTTAGGATCTGATGCCTCATGAATAAATGGTGTAAGTTTTCAGGCAGCATTATATACAACTTTTAAAGTAGACATAGCCTTTCTCAAAATTTTGGGTTTAAATATTCTTTTGGGGCTTGAACTGTATTATGTAGCCAGAATGATTTTGAGAAAAAAAACCCTGAAGTTGGGAAAGACTTCTCCATTAACAGCTAAAATAGTAAAAACGTATTATTCTGGGGGTGGGGGGAAGCACCTCTACATGTCTTGCATCTAACCAGACTAAGAAGTAACAAATTGACCCAAATTCCTTCCATTTCACTCAGTGAACACTACAAATGGTAGATATAAGAAAGGAACTTCTTATAGTATTACTTGGTCTATCCTCCTTCCAGAATACCCATGAAAGACTCCTTCATATCCCACCCTGCAAAAACAGGGGATGACCCCCCCCCTCAAAAAAAACAACCTATGAAAGGTAAGTCAGGCCTCCTTTCCTATGAGAATAAAATGGCAATTACCTACTCTTGTTCTAAGAGTTTGAAAAAAACCCCCTTTGTGCAATTGGATAAATCATCTCAGGTCTACAGCTTAACAAAAGTAAGTTCTGATATGCAGCAAACTAAAAATTCCATTGTATATTAAAAATAAGTATTTGAACAAATCAAACTATAACAAGAATGGTAAAACCCACCAAAAATATTATGATCTAGCATGACAGGCAAATCATTCTTATAGCCTCCAGCCAAGCAAAAATAATGTTTATATACTGTTTGCAAAGTTCCTCACATAACTTCTTAGCGGCTCTGCATACACTGGAGTACATCACTTAATACACTCAGAACAGCTCTCATGCTATTTAAGACAGAAATGCCAGAGGTCTGATTTGGTATACATAACAGACTTTGCCCTTATTATCTTCTTAAGTCAAGACAGAATCCCAGAACAAAGTGAAAACGTGAAGTTTATAAAACAGTAGTATCATATTCAGTTATAAAGATTGTTGACATGGAACCTTCCCCAAATACGTGGTGGCACAATTTTGCTTTGATCGTCTTCGACTACTTCTACTGTGCCCTGGGAAAGCGTAAGCCAGGATTTGTCATTGATCCTGTTACAACCTAAATATACAGGCACAAAATATGTTTGTCTTTGCCAAGCAGCAGCATTAAGAAACAGGATTTTAGATTTTTATCAGGTAGTCTGAACCATTCCCCATCTGTAAGCTAAGGAAGCCGAATCATCAGTTAATCATTCAGCAATCTTAGCAAGACAACTTAGTTCTTAAGAGTTTCTAATGAGCACAGTAGATTTCCTCAAGCAGGATACAAAAAAAACCCAAACCACTACAAGAAACAGGGCTGTTGCCAACACTGCATATAAGAGCTAGTTTTTCCTTGCACAACCTAGCAGTCCACCCTCTTTCAGTCATTAAAGGATCTCAGAAGAACTTCACATTAAGCCATTAGAGATACACCACTTTATGCCCTTCGACATACACATTACATTAACCACTGGCTTAAAACTCCTATTTGAATTAGTCCCCAAAATGCAAAGGTTTTTCATGCCAGCAGGCAGCTAAGCAGAAGTGGATACCCTTCCGCATGAAAAGAACTTGGACAAGAATCCCCTAATCTACCCACACAAACATGTTGAAATTTGTCTGCAAATCCAAATGAATCCTGAAGGTTTTTTTGGTTTGTTTTTATTTTTTTTTAAAGTTTCACAAATACTATGCAGATAGAGGCAAACAGCTTTAACACTAAACATTTCAATCATATAATTTGTTTTTTACTAACTAATTCAGGGGACAAAATTCAGAAAATTTGGGAAACTGCATGTAAGGAAGACAATCCAAAACACAACTAAATGCAAAATGTCAGGGTAGTTAGTGATGCTGAAATTGTAAGGAATAAAAGCTTAGATACTGTTTTCTATGCTTTTAAGCTGGTATTTGAACAAAGTGAACACTAGCAGAGCCCACAAAAACTCATCTGCTGTTTATTTGTGGCACTTGGGGAAATAACTAATTACATACTAACTACATTAAACATTCTGGACATGCTGCCACCCTCTTCCAGGAGACAGGACACAGCGACAAAATAAAGGACAGTTTCCAACCAAAGTCTTTTAAAATGACAATGGGAAAAATACAAGAGGAAAAAAACCCCAACTCTTGATTACTTCAGAATGCAATTATTTCCCATATCCAGTCTATAGTATTTTCCTTGCTCACCTTTGTATGAATTTCTTCCTTCCTCTTACTTTTCTCTGTCTTCTCTATCCTAACTCCCATGAGCCTCCCACAGATCTTACAAAATAGTGTCCCATAGGAAAAGGAGAGCTTTCATCAATGAAAGGCATATAATTAGCTTTAGAGGTTTCTAATGAACTCGCACACAGCCTACCTTCTCTGATTGCTTCTGTTAAGTGATCCTCTAGTCACTCCCACTAGCATACACCATGGTAATTCCACAGCAGCTCCTGCTTCCTGATACCATCAGCAGTTCCAACAAACAAATGAATCAACTTCCTGCTTCCCCTATGTCACCAATCCCACAATTGCAATTGTTTCCTCTACTGCCGCCTTGTCGGCCATCCTAACCCTACCACCATCATCTACAGCTCCTCTTCCTTCCAAACCAAGCAACCTGCTTAAACATCCAACTCAATGCAATATTTTTTCCCCCCCTCCCAATTTCTTGCCAGTCATTTACTTCCCTAATCTCCTAGGATTTTCAATTTACTGAGAAGTTTTGACCTTTTCCTCTTGATGACACTTACAGAAGGAGGATTGCTAAGACTATTAAACAGAGGAGACCACCTACCTTAAGCTGTTCTTTGTCATTGTAATGGAGTCTATCCTACTCCCCACAGATCCTAGAAGCTTTCCAAGGGGGAAACAGGAAGGGATTAACATTTGACTGTTCTTCTAGGTACACTGAAGCCTAGTCAAAGCAGTGTTCCTATCTGTAATTCAAGGGGACATTCCAAAGGAAGATGACATTGTGTTGAGGTAGGACTGCACCCAGACAGCGTACAGGTTCTCCAAGTAATTCAGTAAGGGGAACCCATCACTAGACAGCAGCAAACTAGTTTCAAGAAATTTGGCTATAAAAGAGGACATGAAATGATACCTTTGTATCAGGAGGACCCTCTGCTCTGTGGGGTGCCTTTTATTTATCTACTTAACCTAATGTGAATTTCATATATGCATATACTCCCTCTTCCTCTCTTAAAAGGCTACATAATTTATACTTTGAGCTCTTTGGAGTAACAGGACTTTTAGTGTGTACCTAATTGGAACACGGTACACCAGGACTCTGAAGCTCGATTGATGACCCAAACCACTACCAGAATTCAAAGAGTAGCAGGAAGATACTGACTACTATTTTACCACTTACCTGTGCAACAACTATCCCAACACCCAGACTTGCTGGAGTCTAGACTCCAGGAAATTTAGTATAGACATCTGTCTCCTGAGTCCAAAAACCTACTGTGGAGAAAGAAACCTTCAACCTAGAGCTGAGCAATGTTCTCAACTTCCTCAAGCAGATACTGATTAATATTTAATTTTTTGCTTGCAAAAGAGGAAGCCCTTAGAACTGTTCTTGGTGTTACATACTTTCAAAATCTATCAATCTTCATTATTCTTTCATCGTTTTTTATTAATGCTATAGCACTGTATATATGTTTAGATTAAACCTATCAGTTCATTAATTAAAAAAATACAGGAATACTGAACTTTGTTAGTATATCCTCTTTTTATTGAAAGCAGGTGGTCATCGCAATATAATAGCACAGCTATTTAAGTAAATCTAGCACTGTAGACAGAAAACGGACATTTCATTGGAACCTGCCCCATTACATTATACTTGAAACAGACATCACAGTAGTCAGAAGCGGTCTAGGTTATAAAAAAGAACATAAAGTTTATACGGATTAAAGAAAGTTATACTCACAGCTAGCATTTCTGTAGAGAAGAAAAGGTTCATGGAGCTGAAACTCCAAATCTTTATTTACTGGTTCAACCAGGTTGTGCATGTTCAGTCGATTCACTATCGTAAAACCATGATAAGGAGAAGCTGACCTATTGTTTCAATTAAAACAAAACCAAGGATTAATACCTTGATCAATGTATACAGTTTTCTGAAACAGAGTTATGAATTAATCTTCAAATCCCCATTGCTTTATTAGGTGAAGCTTTAGCAGTTCTGAAGCTTTAATAATTGTTCTTCTATGCCATTTCTTGGCATGCCAACTAATTTCAATTTAAAACTACGCTTACCTCAAAGTAGGATTAGGATTAACATTACACTTCTACATTGCTAAACTGCTGAATCAAAGATATGCCTCAAAAAAAATCTATTCAAAAAAACTAGGGCAGGTCCAGGATTAAAATGCAAGTGTATTCAATACTTCACATAAGATCGTTTTGAGACATTTTAGAATCTTTTATTAGAGGAGAAAAAACAAACAACTTGCAGAGCAACATTTACCTTACTGTAAACAAGTATGACAATAAAAAAAGCTGTTGGTTTAAATAACATGAAATACCCTTAGAGGGGAATCATAAGCACTAATTTCTTCCTGAAGGCATACTGTTAAAATAAAGATGTAACCCAGTGTCCTCAAAGTAGATATTAAATTATTCAGAATTGTATTGTTTAGTGAAACAATTTTTATGATCTAGATTTTTGCTAGACACCAGGTGGAAAAAGAAAACATCAAGCAAGCAAGCACTGGAAGTTCAAGATAGTTTTAGATCTGTTTTCTCTTGCTGCATGAATGTCATGTCAGCGTACTCAGCTATGGCTGTAAGGAGTTATATAATCAACACAGCAGCATGATGAAGGCAAGAGTAAAAATCAGATATAATTAGCTAGTAAATGTTAAGATTTCTGTAAAGATGTGGCCACTTTTACCAAACGATCAACAACAAAATCTCTCAAGAGCTTCTAAGGAGAGGGCACACAATCCTTACCATCAGAAGTTCATCTTTTAATGTGCCTAACAGAACTTGTTTGAAATAATCACCAAATCACATAGAAACTTTTTGCTTAGTTTTTTGGTATTTAGTTTGGTTGGCTTGCTTACACTAAGTATTTCCAAGCTTGGAGCTAAAGTAAAGTAGACAGGAATGGGTTACTAGTACCCCTTCACAGTGCCCGGATAAAATATTTTAAGGACCTACTCTACAACAGTCTGTTTCAGGACGGGTTAAGTCTGCATTATTTATATTGCTTACATTCAACAGAGTGTTATTTCATTGTTAGATTTTTTATTTGCTTGTAATTTAAAACTTAAATCCATGACGGGTTTTATGTGCCAGCTCTCCCCACCGACCCCTTTGCCCCATCCCATATAACTGGAAATTTCTTTCATGGTTTTAATGAGGAAATCAAGTAGCCCCAAAAACTATACACTAGCAGATCTCCAGCTTTTAGGCAACTTTGTCCATTTACAAAGATTTCTGCCATTTCCCAACAGTAAGTTAGGACAGATTATTTAATTTCTCAACTGTATTATTTTCATAATCAGCTTTATGGATTTTAGGAGACAAAGGAAGACTCAACATTTAACAAACTTAATACATTAACAAATGCTATTAGATTAACAAAATAAGCTTGATAAGCTAGGGTTTTATGTGGACACATATGCAGCATTCATCAAGTTTTATGATTTTTTCAGCAGTACTTTTAGGTGCTTTTGACAGAGTTATTCACCTAAGTGCAGAGTTTATTCTTTTCAAATGAGTATACAGACATTAACAGCTGGACAAATAAGTAATTACGAGTTTACTGGATGCAGTAACTCCAGTATGAAAGCTACACATGGAGCTATCTGAGGTACTGTTTTCTTAAGGAAGGAAAACACCTCCCTCCCACCCAAAAAAACCCAAACCAAACCAACTTACCGTTTGTACACAAATAAGGTCCCTTCTATGTCGGTTTTCTCCTACAAAAGACAGCAGTTGCATTTAAGGGATATGCTTATTCACATAGTTATGTAGCTTTCGTCTAGCACTTTAATTACAGAGATTTACAATATCCTTATCTTTCCATGAGGTTTGACATCATAGGACCAAAAATATGATTTCTTACTTTCAGAAACTACTTATTTTTTTCTTAGTAAGATTAGGAAATTAAACCCATTTCCACAAGATTTTGCTCCTGCTATCAATCTGATGACATGACAGACAGTATTCTACAACCTTCCTACACTGAGCCTGATGGGTCAAAGCTGAACAACTTTCTTGCAACTCTTTATTTTAAATACGGACTACAGTTCACTAGTCTGCAAATATCGGATAGGTTGTCTTCCACAGTGTTACTTAAAGGACATCAATGACAGCACAGCCAACAACAAAACAATGTAACTATGGACCATGGCTACGTTTCACACTTCAGTTTTCAAAGCAACCTTTACCATGTGCTTGTGACCCACAAGCACAGAAAGCGGCACGCAGCTCCAGTGCTCCATATGACAATGTGGAGTTCCACATACTTCCATTTTTATAGTTTTGTGTTAAAACTGGTGGTCAAGCAAAAACTGCGTTTTAATGCAATGACAAACACCAACACATCTCAAATCCCATTCTTCCTGAATTGGGGCTCTGTTCAACACGCAGGAGCAACAACAACTTACCATTAAAAAAAAAAACAACAAAAAAAACCAACCCAGCAACGGCCACCAAGAGCCAAAGAAACCTCGAGCCCCACAGCTGCTCCGGGCACAGCCACACCGAGTGGGCGAACGACGCTGTGCCCCCCCTCCCCGCGCAAGCACAGCCTCTGCTCTCCCCTGGCCCCAGCGCCCTCCGGGGCCGACACCTTCCCCGGGGGAAGACACCCAAATCCCGAACTTCCCCTTGGGCGAGAGCAGCCCCCGCCGGGAGCCCCTGCGGAGGCCCCGGGCCAGGCGGCTGCTGGGGCGAGGGCACGGGCGACAGGAGCCCCGCCACGGCCGGCGGCCGCGAACGCCC